GAAACACACAGCTGCAAACTTACTCAGGGTGTTATGGAAGAGTTTGAAATCAGACAGAGGTGGAAGAAGTACTCAGATCTTGTGTAGGAATACTCAGTTACAGTAAAAGTCCTGCATTCAAAATGTTACTCAAGTAAAATTAGAAAAGTATTATCAAAATATAGTGAAAGTAGCGACAGTAAAAGTATTCATTGTGCAGATTGGTCCATTTCAGAATAATATATATGATATGTTTTATAATGATTGATCATGAAAGTGTTCTCAAAGCTGGTAAAGGAGCAGCTAGTTTGAATGACTTTGTATACTGCAGGGTAGCTTGTGAATTTACTCCAGGTGGAACTAAAGTCTGATTTAACACTTGATTAGATTTCACATCATTCATCCACATCTGTAAAGTAACTAAAGGTATTAAATACATGTAGTGGAGTAAAAGTAGAAGTACAAAGTAGCATAAAATAGAAATACTCAAGTCAACTACAAGTATCTCAAAATTGTACTTGAGTAAATAAGTGTGCTTTGTTACTTCCCACATTTGAAATCAGATATGACTTCAAGTCATGTGATAATTTCTTAGTATTTGATCCTTCAACTTGGCCTCAGGAAATGCAAGGACTTCACAGTTTTGGCAACAAGTTTTGGAGAAAGCAAATCGGAGGCTTAAAAGAGACAGGGAGGTGCATCTTCATCATCTTCATCATCTAGCATGCAAGAAGTGTAAATTGAGAACAGTGAAGGAGACACTGAGGAGGACCACGCTTCGTGTGGGGTGAGTACCAAACGCTGTCTCTTGGTACTCATCTGAGTAACTCACTAAAAAAATTATGTGCACCCCTGGTTATAGGTTTTTTTAGGCGGAGATTAGAATTTTTTTTTACTATGTTTAATCTGAATTTACTCTGACACAGCAAGATCTATATTGATTCTGACACTTCTACAGCCAACTCACAGGTATATCATTGCTTTGATAACAAATATTATTCATATACCCCTTTTAGTTGTGAAGATCCGTTTACACCCCTCACTAAAATTAAAGGAACAGCTATAGAAAAACTACAACAGCTGCATGAGATCCGGGACCAACGTCTCCATCAACCACATAAGTCCCCATATTGTATGCAATCAGTGTGTGACCAGATCCCTACAACTCTCCCTGATGACCTGGAAAGTGTTGGGTATCACCGCAACTGTTATCAGCGCTTTACTTGCAACCTTCATCTTCTGGAAGATAATCCAGAACCAGAACCATCAACCTCACAGTGGAATCACTCCCCACGTAAATTGTCCTTAGGGGGTTCTGCGAGACCCATCTTCCCACCAGAATGCATTTTTTGCGACAAAGTTGAGATCAAAGATGGTCATCGTAAAACTGAGAGACCTGCATACTTCCCATCTTATAAGAACAAAGAAAATGCATGGGAGCAAATCGAATCACGGGCTGAGAAAATGGGTCTAGTTCGACTTCAAAGACAAGTGAAGGGCAAAGACCTCTTTGCTTGTGAGGCTAAACACCATCAGTCGTGCTTTAAATCTTTCCGCACAGCAGAGTTCCCGTTAGCCGGTAATTACCGGACTATGACCGGTAAAATATGCTGAAGACCGGCAAATCTAAATCTCTCCGGTCAAAATAATTTTCCCTTAGCGCAATACCGCATCAGTTGCGCCACTTATGTGACAGACAAGAAGAGTATGTGATAGACAAAAATAGTCAATTCTAATGTCTAACACTTAATGTGGAGAAAGAGATGTCCTGTATCGGTTGATTGTGCGTTGATCTGTTGGTAATGCCTCGGGGTTCCGGTGGGCATGTAAACAAATGCATAATGCTGCGCTATACTTTGTGGCCTCACCCGGTTGCATAGCGACGCTTATTGTTTAGGTGTCTTTTAATAAGCAGGTAGTCATATCATTAGCTAGAACTAGCTAGATCTGATCGATATGGACATAAACGCGAGTAAAGTCTAATCTGACGGGAGAGAGAGATCAGCTGCTGCTGACGAGTCGACACGCAGCTCTGCATGATCCCCTGCAGCGGCGAGCAGAGCAAAACACACTTCAGGTTAGAACATCACACGTAGCTATTTTAATTACCTCTCAAACTACCTAAACTAGTTATAGATATGTTTAGTTTTACTGTCGGGTCACTCATTACTGGATCCGCGAGCTGCATGATACTGACGGGCTGTCAGGAGAAGGAGAGAGCGCTCCGTTTATTATTCCCGCGTTTTTGTAAGTTACTGTACACTTTTGAATAATGTAGTTAATCTACTATAATTAGTTTGTTTAATATCGAATCATATCAATTTGTTTTAAGGCTCAATAAATAACAAAGAAGACCTTTGACTGGCACTTTTCTCATTTTGCCCGGAAGATTTCAACTTTAACGGACATGTTGACCGGCAAAAAAATATTCTAACGGGAACTCTGCCGCACAGCATTCGCCAACTACGAGCGCAGCAGTATTCTTAAAGCAGGAGCTAAGGATACTAACCAAGCTTTCATGTAAGCCTCCCATGAAAAGGCATTTGTTTCAGTACTGGAACACATTGGAACTCATGTAGTCCAGCAAAATGAGGTCCTACAGCTATCTTCCTTGCGCTTGCTGTATGTGGAAGAGCTGAAATTGAATGGGTACGAGAACACAAATTATCGCTCAGAGAAACTCCTGAAACGGCTGCAGAAAGATCCAATCAAGAAGCATATCCAGTTTACGAGAGTTGACAACGACAATGCTGATGCCGTTTCTTTCTGGCTGGTGTACAGCTTGAAAATCACGGTATCGAATGCCGTTGCACGAGCTTACACTCTCGGAACCACAGACAAGTACAAAAACGTTGCTCTCCTACTTCGCCAGAATATTCTGCAGACTTTCAGAGAGTCCAAAGACCTACATTGGCCGCCAACAGCTGACGACATGGAGCTCACTCCTGAAAATCTCCTACCCACAGACCTCGTCCGGTTTCTCTGCATGGTTATGGCTGGCAAGGAAGACATGGAGACGAATGAAAAGATGAAGCGCCTGGTATTCTCCATTGGGCAAGACCTGTGCCGTGCAGTGTCAGAGGGAGAATGGAAGTTACCAAAACACATTCTACTCTGTGTGACTGTCAGGCACTTGTTCAGAAGCAAGCAGCTCACCACAATATTACACAGGCTTGGCCACTCTGAGAGCTACGGATTTGGTTTAGAGTTGGAAACTGCCCTGGCAAAGGTCCTGGACAAAGTCTCATCCTATCGGACACCCGCAATTGTGATAGGAGAGGGAAACCTGGTATTCCACTGTGAATAAAACCACGACCAGTGTGCACGGCAGCAACATTGTCAACAGTGTTGGGGGAATCATGGTCCAGGAGGTCAAGCCTGGGTTTGAGAGCAACAAGGTCCGAATGCTACCCGTCATCGACAAGTCGCAACAGCGTAGCCTGAAAGTCAACACACCAGAAACACTCCCACCCTTGCACTTCACTCGCGCCGACCCAAAGTTTAATGATGGCTCATCATTCACACCGCCTGCAGAGAATGACACAGTCTATGCAACTGAGATGCAAGTGTACTACATCTGGCTCTTTATCAGGTACATCGGAAGCAATTCACCTGTCTGATATATGGAGAGAGTCGTGAGTCTTCAGTGGACGTAGTCCGTGCCAAGTTGCTGCGCAAAATGGTGGGGCAGGACGATAAACTCACTGCCAAGTCTAAGGTTGACCTGGCTCGCCTTCCTCCATGCTATGATGCTCTGAAGCCGCACGTCCAACGTGTGAACCATCGCGTCGCCCTGTACAAGCGAGCTGATTAATCAATTTTAGAAAAACCAAACCCCTATGATGAGGAGCAGGGATGGATGAGGACTGATGGAGTGTTGAGACCGGTGTGGTCCTGTGGTCGTCCTGCCAACCTCCCTGGTTGATCTCCTGGACACGACAGAGCGTGAACCGGAAGACGAGGAGGAAGAGGAAGAGGAATTTGACTCTGATGATAGCATTGAAAACGATGATTGAGTATTAATCAGATAGTGGAGCCAAACATTGACTGCTTATCTGGAATGGGAAAGAGTAGTCACATCAATACTTATATTATGATGTTTGACCCTTGCTGTAGGCTAGTACAAAACAAATACATATTGGTTAAATACACAACATCTGTCTAGACACCTTATTTGTTCACTTACTGTACTGCAATATTGGCATCTCTTAATTTGCATAGCATGCCACAGATACATGTGATCACTTTGGGAATAGTTTTATTGTGATCTTTGACCATCAAAACATGGGTCAAGACACATTATTTGTTCATTTATCTGCAATATTGGCTGAGATAGAGTGAAAAGTGTGAAAATTCCGTTTTTGGAATAATTTGCATAAAAAATACATGTGGGACATCCAGACAACATTATAACATAGCTCATAATTTTCTACATACTTTTTCCACTTAGGAAACACTGATTATAAGTATATTTCTGTGTCGGTGAAAAATACACCGTTCTTGGTACAAGACTAAAATGCTATTTTCTTGTAATGGCAGCACTAATTAGCATAATAGCATGCCACAGACACATGTGATCACTTTAAGAATAGTTTTATTGTGTTCCTTGACCCTCAAAACATGGATCTGGATACCTTATTTGTTCAGTTATCTGCAATAATGGCTGAGATATAGTGAAAGGTGTAAAAGAGTAAAACTCGATTTGTAGGGTAAATAAACACTAATTTGGGAAAAAAATATACGTGGGACAATTTGTCAACTTTTTAACATAGCTAATCGTTTTTTACACAATTTTTCCAATCTAGAAAAGCTGATTAGAAGTATATTTCAGGGGGGTGCATGATACCCCCTTCTACCCACCCAACTACATCATGATTGGAATGAAAGGTATATGGAGGTAGAACAGTTACAGTGGAAGTCCATTTAAAAGTGCAATGATGGCATGAGTACAAATCCTTTAAGTAAATGTAGCTACACAATAATGTTGAAACACCAGATACAAGTAAGAGGGCTGTTCAAAATCTTATTTAAGTAGTAACAGGTTTATTAATACAAAATAGTAGCAATAATAATAACTGACCTTTTTCAATATTATATATTGGGGACCTACAATTTACAACATAACAATGCTTCCTACCGTAAACACTGGTTTTCTATGGAATATCTAAATGTGCAAATGACAATAAAAAAATAATATTTCCCTTTAAATCGTACTGGAGCTGAAGAAAAACTTTGTTACATTGCTAAAATCCTCTCTCAATTTTTTCAAGCAGTTTTCAAAACATAAGTTATGATCAGTCGTAATCAGTGTGGACATTTATTTAACAATGCATTTACAAAACTTTCATTCCAACTCAGTTGATGAGCTGAAGTTTACAAGCCTTCATGTCTTCAGGTGTTTGACATTTATTTATTCTTTGCGCTTGATCGTTTGTTTCCTGAAGAATCAGCGTGTCTTTAGGAACAAAGAAAAATCTGCAGATTTGGCAAGAGCCAACTCAGTGCAAAAAATATCATTTGGCATTATCACCAGCCGTTCCAGGGAGATGTAGTTGGGCAGGTCTGGCTTATACTGAGCCTTTCCAAGGTACTCGAGGAACTGGTGGCGCTCTCTGATACGCATTAACCTACAATTTAGGACCTATGGGAAGATATATCAAATGTTAACATTATAATTTTGAATATGCAATAATTCACATTTGTTTTTGTTTAAAAAAAATCAACAACCAAAAGCTTTCATTCTACCTGTGGGAACTTGGCGATCAGGTCGTGGGGCACCTTCATGGTATTGTGGACGAAGTCAAATATTTGGGGCAGCTTCCTTGGGTCTCTTGTCAGAACCTTCGGGACTGTAATAACTATGTGTTGGATCTCGTTTTCCTTGAAGCCGAGCTCCATTTCCAACACCTGTTGAAAATATTTACATAAAGGAATTTAAAACACTGCACTCCACAGTTACTCAATGATGTTATCTAATAATGTCCTTTGTCATCCAGTACCTTCAGGTTCTCTTTAACGGGCTCCAGACTGCCACACAGTAATTTAGGTCGACGTGCTAAAATGTCCCGTGTCTGGAGAGAGAAATAAAAGTCAATTGAATTTTGTGAAAAAATAACAGAGACAAACATGGCTAGGCTTCACAATGAGATCCCTCCCATCAGCTAACTTACATTAGAAGCACTGAGTTTGAGTATCTGCTGGTAGAAGCCCATTCTGTTGTCCAGCCTCTTCACACTGAAGTTCAGTATATACGGAACTCTGGACACCATGGATGCAACCGTCTCAGGGCTGAAGTTCTGTGACTTGAGAAAGTTCACCCTTTGAAACACCAAAAAAGACAACATTATTAAAGGTCCCATGACATGGCCATTTCTACTGATCATAATTCCATTGTTGAGGTTTACTAGAATAGATTTACATTGTTCAATGTTCCAAAATCACATTGGTTTACAGCATCTCTGTATAGTATGTATATTCACTCTCTGTCCTACACGCCTTGTTGGAGCTCCTGCCCCCCCCCCCCCCCTCCCTATGAGCCCACTTTGCTCTGATTGGTCAGCTCGCCCACTCAGTTCTGATTAGTCAACCACTGTTACGGCGGAACATCAGTGTTTATGTGTTACAATGGCGTTAGCAACCAGAAAATGACACCAGTAATGACAAACAGATGAGAATGCTGCGTGGGGTCTGGGTGCCGTGTTGGCGTGACGTCAACCTGCCCCGGAAGAAAAAAATGGAAAAAGAAAAATCTCCAACGAGGCGTTCTGGGGCAGCATAAACACGTCTTTTCTGTGTTAAGAGTTTTACTCGCTACAGGGTGTACTTTGAGGGTTTGTGACTTTGCAGACCGTTTACATGCAGAAAAAGCTACATAACAATAATAACCGGAAAAGCATATGATGGGACCTTTAAAACAAACGTATAACCACCCTCAATTATTCTTTCAATTCATGCCAATTTCTTGCACAAATGGCTGGCTAACTTTTTGTAAAGAAGGGAGAAAAATGGGATTTCACAAGAATAATAATAGCTTTACACATCAGATTTATTAAGGAGCTTTTTCAAGTTTTTATATTGTATTAAATGTATTTCAGTATTATTGAAACATGAGGTTCTTCTGTATTGTAAATCCCTACTACATACAGTAAGATTGTTTCATTAAACTTCTCTCATCAATCTGATTTCATTTAGAATAAATTATTTGGAAAATATAAATGAGTGAAATGTTTTTTGTCACCTGGAATGCAGGTTCTCCAAACTCTCAGTGAGAACGAAGGGGTTTTGCGTGATGATGTGACCAAAACGAGATACGTCCACACCTATATCTTTGAGGAACAGCAGCTTTGGGGACACATCTGTGTTTAAGTCGAGCTTCAGTAGCATGGAGCCCACATTGGGCCTTTGTTCAAGGATCCACAGATTTACACCTGCAATGAGAAGATAAATGATCACAAACGTGTAGCTGACATGGGTACTAGATCATTTCCTGTATCACAGTATAGCTAAATATGCCTTAAAACTACAGGTGTTGTGAAATATATTTAAAAAAATCTGAAGTTTAATTACCCAGCTCCACCAGTTTGCTGAGCGTCTCAGACTTGTCGACATAGTCTTTTAGAGAGATGGATGCAGGGGGGATGTCAGAAGGGACTGTTATACTGACAGCCTCTTCCTCACTGATCAGCTCTAATGCTGAAACCTCAGCAGCGGAATCCAGATCTGGTAAATCAAGAAAAAAGACAGAACAATGTATTCAACTCCCTCTCAAGATAAATGAACACTTAAATCAAATGCTAGTTATATTAAAGGTCACCTATTATACAAAATCCACTTTTTCATGTCTTTTATACATAAACATGTGTCCCCTCTGTGTAAAGAGACTCTGAAAGTTTCAGGAAAAAAGATTCGCTCACTTTTGGCCAGCGATTTGTTGGCTTGTGGAACCATTAGCCAATCACCAACCAAGGTACCCACCCCCCACCTTATCACCTGAATCTCTACCTAGAGCACCATTGTGTTATTTTTAACCAAATATCTCGCAGAGGGGCGTTGGGAGTGGCTCCTTATTTTTATCTAATGTAAAAGACACAGAATAAGCACTTTTGAAACAGGGCTGAAACAGAGGGGATTATGGGATGCTACAATACATGATCGGTTTCGTATTTTGAGCCAAACACTTCAGAGACATGTTTTGTGTATATCTGAGACCTATAATATATTGATGAAAAACAGTATAATAGGGGACCTTTAAAAGGGATTTAGGCAAATTAATATACCTAATGGCATATTAGGCACAGACACAGCATCTCTGATTGGCAACAGGGGGCTCTTGTATGCTACAACATCAGCTGTAGAGGTTTCTTCAACATTCTTGTTTTCCAAAGCTTCAGTTGCCAGATGTTTGGTAGCCAAGTCACTGTAACAGAACATCTGTTGTTTCCATCTCTGTCTCGTCTGGGTTGTTGTGTGATTCCCGTTGTTAATCGAGAAATCATTTAGGATTTTGATTGATCCCCTTGTAATGCAATGTCTAACTTGAGTGTTATACTGCCAGGTGCGAGCCACTGCCTTGGAGCAGAGGAGATTTCTGCCTTGTTGACAGAGCTGTGTACAGGATGAAGCCATGGTGAATCTGCAAAGGAATTATTTGTTTTAGTTTTTCTGTCAAGCATATGAATAATTGCAACATTGAACTATTATAAATAGGTAAAAGGTTGACAACAATATCAGATTGTTATTAGCTTAGTCTTATAGGTCTCCTTATGATGGAATAAATGTATTGTTAGTACAAGTATGAGTATGAGTACAATATACATTCTGATTACATTTACTTTTGTAAATGCAGAAGAAAATTACAATTTGTATCATTCCTATTTCCAATAAAAGTATTAAAGAGCAGTATAGTACTTGCTCAATCAAACGCATATATATGTTGTAATATCTGCAAGGTCATACTGTTTGTAACTCAATGTGTATATTTGTGTTTTTAACTTCATGCGTATGTTTTTCTAGTGGCTGCTTGATTTAGCTGTTCGTGGGTTTGGTAGCGTGTAGAAATAAACACTGTGTCATTCATATTGAGAGAAGTTTAGGAATATTTCACCTTTCAATTTGTTTTTGTGTTAATGCAGGTAAGGTTAAGAAATAAAACATACGTTTTGTATAGAATGTTGACCTACAAGAGGCTAGGTTTGAAAGCTAGCATGCTACAATAATATAACGCCTCTTATAGTCTAAGTCACCAAAGCCAACATATTATTTTAGATTAACGTTTTACTCACAAGTATTGTATCCTCAACTCAGCTATCTCATTCACCAGTATGTCTCAAAGTCATCCGTTATCAACGCCGCGTGGGTAACATTACCGGAAGAATCACCGGAAGTGTCACTTTTCTGGGATGTACCACAACGGCATATTTGTGGGTGCCACCAAAGGCACTTAATATACATAGATAATTTGAAAAGCAAAAATATTTCAATAGGGGAATGACAGTTATACAATCGAAAATGTTCTGTCTTCCACTTTCTTACAATGTGTCTTTGGTTTAAACTACAGCGTGGATCTTCCTATGGTATTTTCAAATATAAACCGCCTCGTTAGCTCAATGGTTTAGTCCATCTACAGTGTTCCTGCTAAACAGCATCTACTTGTCTATCTGCTTTTCAAACTTCTAGTATAAAGGCGTTGCAATTAATAAAATAGCCAACAACTGCAAAATGCCGGTCGCTGTGTCTCCAAAAACGCACCGGGAGGATGATGTCAACTATAACTTGCATTTCAGAATGATAAACGAGCAACAAGTGGACGATATCTGCCTTGATTTCTTCTACAAACCGCACACCATCACACTCCTGACAGTCACTGTGCTCAGCCTGATGTACTTTGCGTTTACAAGGTAAACCACAGTGTGTACTATAATGTAATGTAAATATACACAGAGGTAGATAAGCTTGGGATTGTTAACTAGTGATACTGTTATGATACAGGGATGATGAGCAGTCTGATAACAACCTCCGAGTTGGTCTTTTGGTGGTTGTCTCCTTCTTCTTGGTCATCAGTATCCTGGCCTTTCCTAATGGTAAGTTGTATCTTTAATTTAACACACAGCAATAAATGGTACTCTTGGAACCAGCCCATGCTTATGTCTTGTCTTCTGAACTGTAGTTCAAAGTCTACTGAGATAAATCTGCAATATATTGACAATGAGTTGATTTAACTAAGGCATTTTTCAAGCACGGACACAAAATATTCTCTGCACACAGCTTCTCAAATGTGAGGACATGCTGCTTTTCAGGATATATTCAATAATTTTTTTTTTTTTTTTAAACCGCACACATAACTTAACATGTTTGAATGGTCAGCACTATTCAAACGTTTGAAATAAAATTGAGAGTTCAAGATTTTGAAAAGTTTAAATCTAGAATTAAGTATTTAGAATAACAACACAAGTATGATTTCAGTGTGAAATACTTGATCTAATTCAACACTAAGTGTAGCCTAAATATCAGGTGGTTGACAGATAGCTGAAGTTTTTTGCCATATCGACTCACCTTGGTGGACTTTGAGCAAATGTGCTTATTCTAGGAATAGTGCAAACACAGTAAAAATCACTTACCCGGTGTTCTTTTTTCTTCATCAGGACCTTTTACCAGGCCACACCCTGCAGTATGGCGAGTGGTGTTTGGTGAGTGTTGTCGTCGCATCTTTAAATCAGCTGCTGTTTAGAGAAAGTGATGAGTTTTTAATGTTTATTTTATTATCTTTTCTTTTTAATGACTGATTTTAAATGCCATTTTCTTAATGTCTTCCATTTTTGTAAAGCACTTTGAATTGCCTTGTGTTGAAAGGTGCTATATAAATAAACTTGCCTTGCCTTGCCTAGGCAAATGTACAAAGAAACACAATATTCATATAAAGCTCTTTAAGATCTTTAATGCGTGCACGCATGACGCCTCCCCAGGAGTGCTGCGGTCTGTGAGGCTCAGCTTTTTAAAGGCATCAAGACATGCACGTCACACAAACCCAAACACTCATCAGATGCCCCCCCTCGTCATAAAAGGCTCCCAACTTGTTTATCTTCATTCCTGTCTATCCTGTAGTTTCATACTCCCTTCCTACAACACCAAAGCATCTGTTATGACAGGATTTTACAACACAATTACATTACATTAGAATAACACTTTATTAAAAGCTTTAATACCATAAAATTGCTACAACAGTTTCCAAATACATCTAATTTGCTTTGATTATTTAATCCAACCAGCTTGGATCTGGGCTAGATTTGTTTTGATCCTAACTCTCTCCTCTCCCCTGTAGGACTCAGTGTGCTGTACTTCCTGTTTCTTGTCTTCCTCCTCTTCCTCAACTGGGACCAAGTAAAGTTACTGATGTACTGGCTGGACCCAAATCTGCGCTATGCCAAACGGGAAGCTGATATCATGGTGAGGATATTTTTGTTTCTTGTACTCTTGATCAGACTAAGTTCAGCAAATTCATTTCTTATTGTTAAAAGATGTCAGGATCAATCGAAGGATTAAGGATGTATATTTCTTGGATATAGAGGTTGAGGAAATATTTACCAAGGCTTCAGCCTTTCACCCAGTTAATCACTCTCTCCCGTTGTCAGAGTTCGGGAATGTGACCTCAGAAGGCCACTCTCTCCTTGGGAATAGTTTTGACTAGAATTAGAAAAATACTTGGGATTTGGGGAGAGATCTTCAGAATTGTCTGGGCAGGAGTGGTATCACCTCGTTGCTGCAGCAAATCCCTTTGTCAACTCTCTGGCCGTAATGCCCAATAAACCTTGAAGTGTCTGACACACGTTCAATGTCTACAGTGTTCCCCTTGTGTTCTGAGTCCTTGCTCCAGAAAGTTATTTTAAAACAGAAAGTTGAGATGAGAAGACTTCAAACGCTTCTTATCATTTAGTCACTTTTCTCTTCCAGGAATATGCTGTGAACTGTACAGTGATAACATGGGAGCGGATCCTGACCCACTGCGACATCTTTGCATTGGGTCACTTTGCAGGCTGGGCTGTAAAAGCTCTGCTCATCCGCAGCTACGGCCTCTGTTGGACCATCAGCATTACCTGGGAGCTCACTGAGGTAAAATGCATCTGTTCAAGATGTGGACCAAAACAGAAATGTAGTTTACGAGGTCATTCAAATGATCTGCACATAACAAGAGCTGTCGCTGTGACTGCTGCCAGTTGTTGACTCGGGAGCTTAGATTACAGCATTTAGCCTGCCATGGGATTTACTCATCAGAGAATTGACTGCGTTACCAATCAACAAGGTGCAAAAATAATCCAAACTATAGAAGGCTTCAAATGGTTTATTAACTAAGGCTCCTCTAACAATGCAACATATAATCTACTTAACATAAAAGTAAAAGACGTTAAAAGTGCAATAAAAAGACAGTTGTACTTGTCTACAGTGCATTATGAACATACAGTGCTTTAATGGTGAACCTTTACAGAGCTCAGGAGTTTAACAGTCTTATGGCCTGTGTGATAAAACTGTCTCTGAATCTGTTGGTCTAGGAATAAAAGACCAACTTGTCCCGTGATAAAAAAAAAAGAAAGCTATTTCACAATATATATATATATATATATAAGAAAATTATGTTCACGCTGCTTTCTATTTTTTTTTTCCACAGCTGATCTTCATGCACCTGCTGCCGAACTTTGCGGAGTGCTGGTGGGATCAGGTGATTCTGGACATCCTGTTGTGTAATGGAGGAGGCATCTGGATCGGTATGACCGCCTGCCGGTATTTGGAGATGAGAACCTACCACTGGGCCAGCATCAAGTCAGTTTGGCTCTTGTTCTTAATCTTCAACTTTTATCTTTTCTTTACACTGTCCTTAAACACTTAAAGTGCCTCTTTTAAAAGCATAAGGTTTAATTAGTAGCTTAGTTTTTATGCTGTTTACTTTTGATACATCTACAAAATCAGGTAGTCCTGGCAGATTCTTATATAGTTTGTGATCCTAAAGCTATGCATACTACGTTCTAGGGCTGTGCGATTATGGCAAAAATCATAATCACGATTATTTTGGTCAATAATTGATATCACGATTATTAAATACGATTATTCATTGACTTTGAAAACGTCAATTTATTGAACTTTAAAACAAATTAAAATAATAATTTGAACAGTATCTGTTTAACTGTTGATTACCCTGAACGTATAATTAAACTGAAAAACCAATAAATAAAATAAATGATACATTTATATTTACATTTACATAAATAATATCAAAATAATAAATACCAATAAAAAAAGATCAACAAATATTTTGGAGCGCACTTCAACAAGCTACTAAACATATATAAATAAATTAGACTATAAAATAAATTAGATCAAATATGTTGCAGTGCACTGTCACAACCTAGCAAAGCAAAATAATCGTTTTTTTCGATTATGTTGTTTTTGTAATTGTGGCAGGCCAAAATCGTAATTGCGATTAAAAAAACGATTAATTGCACAGCCCTACTACGTTCAATGCAAGATTACATTTTGTTGGGAAAATACTGAATGTTCCTTCTATATCAGAGTAGCACATAATAACAGAGGCCCTACGTAGCTGTGTACGTAGCCGGATGTATGACTACATGGATGACACTCATGAGACACTGTGTTGAAGTTATGATAGCTATGTTCCTAATATTGGCATGATGACACAGCCCCTAGAGAGATAGGCGTATGACTATCATGTGTATTGCTTGCGCAGGCCTTAGCCAGTCTTTACTAATGTCAGAATACTGCTTTGAACCAGTATTCTTCCATCTTGTTGACTGTAACACCCTCTCTTGTATATAAGCATATCAAGGACTTTACTCTGGGAACTATTTGTCCCACGCAGCCCTGTGTGTGATGACTACTTCCATTCTTGCAAGGATAATAAATACATGTATCCTGATATTGAAGACCAAGCCGGTGACGAGTGATATTTTTCTAACACATTTGTATGTATCTCGATATCCTCTATAAAGTGCGCATATTTTGTTCAGGGAAATCCACACCACCACAGGGAAGATAAAGCGAGTGGTGCTCCAGTTCACCCCGGCCAGCTGGACTTATGTGCGCTGGTTTGACCCAAAGTCCTCCTTTCAAAGGCTGGCAGGCATCTATATCTTCATGATCCTCTGGCAGGTACTGTGCTGTATTCCTTGATCTTTTACTTGCTTTTTGGATTGTTTGCACTGTTAGAGCTGTATCTGCTGATTATCAATTAATAATATTCTCTAGAAAAACTCCACATTTGTTAGTTATCTTGCTGCTCACAACATATCCATAAGTAATCCTTTAACCTTGTCTGTCTTACATCCTTTATCCTCACAGCTGACAGAGTTAAACATGTTCTTCCTGAAGCACATATTCGTCTTCCAGGCGTCTCACGCTTTCAGCTGGTTACGCCTCATTGTCCTTGGAGCCATCACTGCACCCACTGTACGGTATGTTCAGCCTTCAAGTACACCAAACAACAAAAGTCTGGAAACAATGTTTATGGTAGTATTTATTCCTGGTGTTACAAAATTAAGTGGCAGTTGTTGGCCGATTTTTGTCTGACATTCAAAACTTAAAATGCTTACTATGTTGTTGATAAGTGAAAATGTCCTTTTTTTCAACCTCTTTCAGACAATATTATGCATATATGACTGACACTGAGTGTAAACGAGTTGGCACCCAATGCTGGGTGTTTATGTAAGTATATTTTGTCTTGTCCCTTAGAAACATTTAACAGGACTGAAAAGAAGACCATAAAAAAATAATTAAATTGGCGATTACAAAAGGAGGGCATTTGCAGCAGAGCAAGGTCAAATACAATACCATTTTAGTCATAGCTTACTGCATTATAATACCACACCTTTTGTATAAAAAGTGTTTATTTCCACTTGCAGACTGTTCTTCCATTATGTTTTTAATTGGTATTATTTGAAGGACTGTCACAACATTTTGAGTTTTCCTCATTTCTTTTTTTATTGCAAACGCCATGTTTTGGGTCAAACCCACTTGTCAGCCTGTCATTAAAATTGCAGCATTGTAGTTTTACAACTGATAGCAGTGAACTTTGTCCAGTGTATGGTAGGTTTCCTTTGATCTTGTCAACATATAGCATAATAAAGGGGCTGTGCTGGATCGCCATCCCTGTTTTTAAATCAAACAAATCAGAGTGGCAGTTTAACGACACGTGATTTGGGTTTATGGTTGTGTAATGTATTGGCCGGCTAAGCAAGGTATGTTGTAGATTCAAATATGATAACCAATCAGATTTTGACACACCTTATTTCAGATACCGACTACTTCCTTCAAGTGGGAACATCTCAGTCAAATTTATAGCGGTCCACACTGAAACCAGTTTTGTGTTGGTCACATGCCCACAATCTCGCCCTTTTTTTCCTGATTTTACAAGCTTATTTAGTGCAGACGACAGGCAAATGGTTCATGTTTAAACAGGTTTTATATTCCCCTTTTTTAACAGTGTACTTCTAGCAGTCAATTGAAATTCATAACGTAATGTAGTTATTGACCTCACCTGAGACTCAAAGCTGCATATGCCCTCAGTCTGCTCTAGTTTCCATAGCAACGAGACAGGCTCCCTCCGTCTGCATGACACACATAACGTTGAATAAGGCTCTCTTGTTCAGCCTTTACAATTGAGTTGCATTTCCCACAGCAGGAGTATAGCGAATGAATATTGTTACGGGTATGAACGGCGAGGGAACAATAATAAAAAGCACATTCATCTGCCGCCAGGTGTATGCATTCACAGAGGTGCTCCACTGCAATGAAATGGTGCTGCCATGAGAGGGGGCCATTGTTAAATACAAAAACTTCACCTTACCATTTATCTAACACTTGTATATTTCCCTTTAGTGCCATCTCTCTCCTCGAGGCTCTTGTTTGTGTTAAATTTGGTAACGACTTGTTTTCCAAGACACAAGTTCGCTATGTGCTCCTGTGGCTGGTGATTCTGGTAAGAAAAACAAGAGTGTATATGTGTGTGTGGACTGAATAGATGCATCCTGATTATGCAACTATATTTCCTGTGCAAAGACCATAACCGAGATGCCTTTATGTACATTTTCATAAAGGGAAACCAACCACTGTTAATGTATATTACACACCTTCATGGACAAGTATTGAAAGGCACTGGGTTTCATGCCGACCTCTGCTTTCATGTTTCTGTTTCGTAACAGTCACAAATGTGTGTCAGAGATCTGAAGCATGTTTTTAAATCTGACTTGAGTGCTTAACGCAGCTGCATATTTCCTGGATGCTACTCATGAGTTCATCACAATGTTTGACCCCTTCAAACAGCTCAAAGGTGTAACTATTTCCATTCTTGCTAGCTTGTTCACATGCAAAACAAGTGTGGTTATATTTATTTCTGATAAAAATAATTTTTTCTCATGCCCTCTGGGGTAAAAAAACAAAAGAAGAGTGTAACTTGACTTTAATGCTTTCTCTTCTACATTTTAGGCCTTCATCACACTTCTATGTCTATATGGGATGATGTGGTACGAGCAAAAGAAAATGAAGGTGAGATGTTTTTTTTTTTAAAGCTTCTGTTATATTTTAAGAATTAATTTACTTGTACTGTTTTAAGGGTAAATATAGTCAAGATGACTCATTGTAGTTCAAATAAAATCCACAATAAGTCCTTTTTAATTCACTTTGAGTTGCAATACTAGGAAAAGCACAGGTGTTAACATTAACTCTGTTCTATTCAAGTTTGACAGCGAGTCAGTTTGTACAATACCAGGAACCTGAAATAAATTATGTTATTACTATTTATACTTTCCCTGTCCTACTGTCTGTTAATCCCTGTGGTGTTTCTTGCTTGCCATGTGGTTACTCTTTAGAGCTGTTCCTCCTTTTTGCCCACTCTAAACCTCCTTCTGTTTACAGAGCCTTTCTGTACAAAGTGAAGACCACGATGGCAGCAGTGTTGACGAGTCGTGCGGTGTCGTCCCAGTTGGCATAGCAGGTTAGTCTCTTAAAAGGCAGATTAATGACAACTTTTCTTTAAACTCCATCCCAAATGTAAAGCATACTTTGTCTGTTTCCCTTCATAGCTGAGAGAGATTCATTGAGTTTACAACCTACAAAACTGAGGGAAGCATCTGTGAGGAACAGATTTGTGAATGAACATGGAGGAAAGGAACAATAAACAAGAGCACTTTTACTTCCTCTATGAAAGGGTGAAGGACGCAACCAACAAGGAGCATAGAGTATGCAAGTAAATGTACTAAAAACATGTTGTAAAAGTTGCTTCCTAGGGGTAAGAACGCAAACTCCAAAACAAATTCACACCAACGAGCCTTTATACAATCGGGTCAAAGGTGAAACACCAATTACAGCTTAGGCAGCATTTACAAATCTTAATACTGAAGGAAAAGCACGTAATTGGTCTTGCATTCGATGTCAATTATTTCAACCAGACTTGATCAAGTAAAGAATATGCACTGGATTTTGAATTTAAAAAACTGCCTTTTTTGACCGAAAACACTAGAAGGCTGCATACACACATCATGTTCTACCTAAAATGACTAAACGTTGTTTGGACACTTTGCCCTGTGGGAAATGTAATGTCCAGTCAGGGAAATGTTTATACTAATGTTTACTAAGAGTTTTGTTTTGCACCTAACCTCTTTAACTATTTTTTTAATATGACTGTCTACTCAATGCAATGCCTTGCTAGAAAGCTAAAGAGCACATCGTTTTGTAAGACATTTCATTTGGTGATGAGTTTTTGTTTAACTTTTTGGATTTGATACATTTGTGTTTTGTATGTAATCATTTCTAAAATCAACCACAATTAACACTGATTTGTAAAACAGTAAAGCAGTGGTAGATACACTACTGTTTGCTTTTCTGCAATCATATTTATATCAGGAGAGATGTTTTTGTGTACTTTTAAATGAGAAGTAGAACCAAGTGTTACTAGACCAACTGTAGTGTTTTCATGTTACCCTTTTTAACTCCAAATTATGTGAAACTGTGGACATTAGTGTTTCTTTGTTATTAGAGGGTGAAGTTCATGATAGGTGTGCTAAGAGAATACTGTGACATTTAATGTAAAAGCACTGTGGTGGTATGAAATAGCAGAGGATACGCCCTTGTGAAATTATCTTTTCACTGGCTATTGATTTTTTTTAATGATCCGAATGTGATATTAATATCAGAAAGTTAGTGATTAGTCAATATAAGTTGTTTTTAATATCATTGAATGATGCAATAAAATTCATAATTGATATCAGAGTGTGTTTTCAAACTTCCTAGTTGTCAGCTTTTTGAATTTGTATTTATGTTTGAATTACACTTTTTTGTTGTAGTTCTGCCTAAGTGGTTTTAGTCCTTTGGCTCTCTACAAAGCTGTAAGTGTCAGCCTGACTGTACTGTATTTAATTTAAAGTGTTAACATTGTTATAACCTCTAATAAACTCATAATTTGTACTGATTATAAAATGTATATGGGTTGGTTTGCTTGTTTTTGAACACATTATTAAATGACCACATATAGTTTTTATTCACAAAATGAAATTACAAACAGTACGCAATCAATACGTATCGTAACATTTACATCCCATAGCACATGACACATACAATATTTCTACAGACAATAAAAAAAATTGTCTATAAATGCATGAATCTGAATAATACTTAAACTAACCCAAACATAAACACATTATTGATAAAGCAATTGTAGTTGTAAAAATACTCCATTTGTTACAGTTTTCCTTGAAATATATAGGGTCTTTGGGATATTTGGATTTCATGAAACAAAGGTTGAGTTTCATTATAGTGATGATGGCTGGGGTCCTTATACATAGGGAACCAATCACGAATTTGGCTAAAGTTATTAAAACATTAACCAGTTTTGTCTTCTAAAAAGACTGCGTTTTTGCTACTTAAAGGTAGGGTAGGTAAGAATGGAGAAACCAGCTCGAGTGCGCTAGAATTTGAAAGTACACAACCGAAAAAAATCTGCCCCTTCCTTCAGACTTCCTTACAGAGCCCCTCCTCCAACACACACGAACGCGAACATGACCAATGAGGGCACGAGATAAGTTTGTGCACGAGATAGAAGGCTGACAGGCAGGTAGGCCATCCAATTATCTGCCGCGGGCCAGGCAGATAATTGGACTTTCTTTTTACAGCGCCACGGCTTCCACAGATGAAATATTTGTATTTATTGTCAAAGCATTTCATGTATTCATTGCTATCGGGATGTTAAGAGCATTCCATGGAATATAACAAAAAGTGTTTCTGAAGTGAATTACCTACCCTACCTTTAAACATTCCATGATTTATTTGAAAAAAATCGATCAATCAATTGACCGTCAGTATGGCGGGTAAGGTATTTAAAAAATAACATGTCAAATTACACAAAAAGAACCCTATGATAAAGCCATGTGGAACAACGTCCTGTCAAACCTTTCCTCTTTGTTAGGTTCAGCTACTACATTTCCCAGAGTTCCTTTGTGTGTGGCCGCTGTGCTCGATGACAGCTATCCGGCGCCGAAACACCGATAGACACTCAGACGAAAGAGCCATGGCGGCCACGGGTGGAGGGAAAATTAGAAGCAGGAGATATCACATCGCCTCTAAACCTTACGCCAAGAGTAAACAGGTAAACCCAGCGAAAGTGTTCGTATTTAAGGCCCGTTTCGAGGACGTCATGGTGATTGCGGTGCCATTATGTCTTAGCTCTTGTTTTTGTTTTGTTAGAGAGATTTCATGGCCTGCTGTTAGCGCTCGTGGCCTCCACGCGCTGCTAGCATGTAGATGAAATGCTAGTGAGTTGGCTTATATGTTAGCAAAATCAGACGGACTTGACAGGTCAAATCAGTGCACAGTGAGTCGTTTAGACTAGTTACCCACTATTTGGTCAAGTGCAACTGCACACATGACGCGTTGGGATGACCAACGTCAGCTCTATTAGCAGGTTATTAGCTGCTAGCTAAGTTAGCAAAGAAGTAGATTAGAAGTGTTAGCCGATGTAGCTAATGCTAACTAGCTAGAAGGCTAGCATTAGCGAGCAACGTATTGTTGTCTTCGCTTCTTAAGTTTTTAAGTCCTCACGGCGTCACAGGGAGAAGTGACATTGTGATGAACTACACCCTTCCATAGCTACGGGTAGCCGCATTGCGTGTATTTAGATCTTAAGATTGTGTTTCTTTCGGGTCTGCCGGGAATCAATTTGGTTGTTAGGCTAGCTTACGTTAGCCGAATCTCAGCCAGTTGGATTGCGCAGGAAGCATCGGATGAATCCACATGGCTGCATGAGGGGACTCCACTTGCCGCCTGGACATCAGCTAGTGTTCTCTTTAAAGCGCCTTTTAATGTTACAGTGGACAAGCTGTATCTGGATTTATACATGGCAGATTCGATTAACTATTTTGCACTCCTTACGTAGAATATTGGGAGGTTGTTGATATTAATGCCAGTTTATTGTGGTAGTTATCCGACGGAAAGCTTTTTTTTTTTTTTAAAGGCCATGGAGTTTCTTTGACAATAGTTTTACTAGTGAAAGTGGTTTTCATGATCATTGTGATTATGTTTAAGGTTATCAAGTATCACTCAATATCACACAACAAGAGTTGAATGGATAGTCATTGTTTATTGATATCTGCACTTGTGTTGACTTCAACCACTTTGTATTAAATACATGTTAGCCCATCACATACAATATATCTTCATAATGAACTATGTCGATTATATAAACTATAGAAAGCAAATGGGGGTTTATATATTGGTTTAATCTAATACATTTGACCATTTCAAGATTTTCATTTATTGTATTTATTGGCAGTGTTAGACTTGGAATCTAGGTACCATCATGTCACACTTCTTGCTCTACCATAATCCATATACAATTAGAAACCGTTCTTAGCAAAAATGCACAGAAAACGGCAGCTTGCTAAATAACTATAAAGTTCATCAATACTGTTGAAAATTGTGAACAATAATTTGTGCAGAGTTGAAGTAGACCTAATTAATTGTCAACTTAGGGAATACAGGGCTTAGTGATATTGCTTCAGCATCTATACACATCACAGTCATGTAATGTCAAACAGAGGTTGCTGACTTGGCATGTGTATCATCAACCAAGTCCTGACACAATATCCCACTTTATCAACAATCTAAATGTTCTATTATTAGGGATTTGACAGGACTAATGCATTTATGCCAACAACAAACTGACAAACATGAACTTGTAATATTTATTTTTGAATAAATGCAAATATGAGTTGAACAGCGTCTCCATCATGACATATTGGAGTCATGATTACATCTGCTAATGCTCATACATTTGTGTAAATGGCAAATAATGTGGAAGTTTCTGAAGTTCATAAGAAAAGGTCTGGACTAAATTCAGCCAAAAACATTTAACATCCACATTTTATGTACAGTTATCCATACGAGGTTCCTGTATTCAGTTCACAAAACACCGGTTAAAAAGCAGGAGCATGCTAAGACATGCATTGTTTTCGCCATCATTGTCTTGATTCATGTAGCAAGGTGTGGGTTTGCTTACTGAGAAAATGGAGTCTTTCTAATCAATAATTACCTCATCACGTGACGGCCAATATGTGACAATGAAGCTGACTTCAAGGTTTAAGATTTTGAGGTGTGAAGATGCATCACATTGGTTATTGTAAAAACATGTATGTACTGATCGACTAAGCTTTTACTGGCCCGGCAGTTTTACATGATAGCTTTCAGAGTGGTAATGACAACATATCCTTGAGTCTGCCCACAGCAGAAATGTGGCACCCTTAAATCCAGACAACAATAGCTATAGTAGTGCTACGTAAACTAGTACTGGGGTGGATTGTACACTTGCCTTTGACTAGTTGAACTTGTGTGCACTAAGGTTAAAGTGCTGGATGGCTCACAGGTGTATTTTTCTAGATAAGCAGCAAACTTGGGGCCACATATGGCTCTTATCAGGAGTTGAAAGCTTCCATGGGTTATACAGTGTGAACATGTAGTGATACAACCACTAGCTAACCCCTTCACTCAACTCTGCCTTATCTGTCTGCTCTCTAGTCACAAGAACATTGGACAGCATAGCCAAAATATGAAGAGGTCCAACTCTAAAAATCAAAGAGCTAAAGAAATACATTTTGAGAATAAAAAATAACTAGATAAACCAGTCAAAAGTTTAACATTGTCTTGTTCAATGCTCTCCAATACACCTTTCCCTTTAATAGGCCGATGCATTTATAGATTTTTTCAGTAATGGGCTTTTTAGATAACGAGTACCTGGAAACTAGGCTACTTTTGATATGTTCCGTAAGAGACTAGATTAATCCGTATCGACTGGATTTCATCTCGACCTCAGTACAGAGCAGACCAGCGTCACTGGCTCTTCGCTTCACAGAAGCAAACACAGCGCCTGACCCAGTTTCACGCTGTCATACTTGGCTTCTTTTTTGCTTTGCACTGGGGAGGACTTACTCTTCTCATTGCAAGTGGGTCTGTGCAGCTGATTCTAATAATACAATGCGGTGTTGATTGCTGTGTTTTGCAACGGCTGTGTGTGATTTTATAACGATTTAAATTAAGGGGAATTGCTTATCTGCAAATTCAATATTCTTGAAAACCGAATAAATATAGCACCGGCATCTTATCTTTTCTCTTTTCCTCAGTTTAGTAGTTGAAAAACAAATCCATAAGATTCATGTAGCATAAGTGTTCGATTATGCAGCGTTAATTTAAAAGCATCGACTCTATTCCATTGCTGATTGATAAGAGAATTTCAATCTGATAAGGACCTTGTACTACAAGTAGTGGCCTGAGTTAGTGGTACTTAGTTTTGCTGATATGCATTCATGTCTGCTTCTCGCTCATTTCAACCTTTTTTCTTACAACTTCCTCTCATGTTTCTTTTTTCTGCAGCCGTCAGGCATCATCAGTCGAGTGACAGACACAGTAAAGAGCATCGTTCCTTCCTGGCTGCAGAAATACTTCAAGAAGGAAGATGCTCCTGAAGGAGGAGGAGATGGACTGGGGATGGAGCAGAACTGCCAGACTCCTCCTCCTCCCAATGGCAGCGAAGAGGGTCCTCCTCTGCTTGATGGACGAGACTCCCCAGAACCAAGCACCGGTAACACAGGTGAGCGACTCAGTCAGCGTCACATCTCATCAAAACATTTGATGTCCCACGCGAAGGAATTCCTATATTTTGCACTTATTTTGTGTTGTTAACTTTACCATCCTGCTCACCTCTGACTTTTCCCTCTCTCAACCAGAGCCTTCAACCAGCCGGGCTTCCCTGAACTTTCAGGAGTATGTGCTTTCTCGGCCACCTCTGAGTCGTTCCCATCTCCACTTTCCCCCGCTGGATGCCTCTTCCCCGACCCTGGGGTCCCCCAGCAACCTCTTCTCCCAACCCTCCACCTCCTCAGCCCCTGGACCCTTTTCCACAGGCTTCTCCTTGGTCAAAGAAATCAAGGACAA